ATATTGAATCAGAGCAAGGGTCTAGTAACTGTAATTCCTTTTTTCCTGAATGTTTCAGGACATTGAGAGTTGGCCTCTAGCAGAAGCGAGGTGGAGGGTTCCTGCTTAGGCTTTGGTTGGTGTCAGTAAGCCCCTGAAGGGTACATGCCCCAGATGGAGGCATCAGTAAGTTCCTTGAGGGAACATGCCAAGATGGAAGCATCAGTAAGTCCCCCCAAAGGGAACATGCCCAGATGGAGGCATCAGTAAGTCCCCCAAAGGGAACATGCCCAGATGGAGGCATCAGTAAGTCCTCCAAAGGGAACATGCCCAAATGGAGGCATCAGTAAGTCCCCTGGAGGGAACATGCCCAGATGGAGGCATCAGTAAGTCCCCCAAAGGGAACATGCCCAAATGGAGGCATCAGTAAGTCCCCTGAAGAGGACATGCCCCAGATGGAAGCATCCATGTCTGAAACTCGCTGGGAGCTGGAATCTGAAGCTGTGAGCCCGTGTGGGTGGGTGTGTTGGTGCCTCATTGACCTTTTTCCAGGTTCTGAGCTGCCACTCCATTTGGTTACTCACAGATACCTGTCAGGGAGAGACAGTAGTGCGTGGTTATATGTATGTATGTTACTTCAGATGGCCTCGCCCTATAGCCCAGCTGCCCTTCATCTCACAGTGGTCCTTCTACCTTAGCCTCCCAAGTTTTGGGATGACAAACCTGAATCACCATGTCTGATGAGAATTGCTGTGCTTCATCACCATGCCTGCTTGCTGGCTTGCCTGCCTCCACACTCCCTGCCGTGATAGTCATGGACTCACCTTCTGTCGCCGCAAACCCCAAATAAAGCCTTGGTCATAGTGTCTCTTCACAGTAATAGAAAAGTAAGCTTGCGGGGCTGGAGAGATGGCTCAGTGGTTAAGAGCATTGCCTGTTCTTCCAGAGGTCCTGAGTTCAATTCCCGGCAACCATATGGTGGCTCACAACCATCTGTAATGAGGTCTGGTGCCCTCTTCTGGCCAGCAGACATACACACAGACAGAATATTGTATACACAATAAATAAATAAATATTAAAAAAAAAGAAAAGTAAGCTTGCATTCCCTTCAGTGACAGGGTATGGGTGGGAGTGGGGGTGTGGGTGGGAATGTGTTCTGCTCTGAAGGGTCAAGGAAGAAAAGGAAAACCGTATATGTCTTATTTAAGATGTGTTTGCCCTGCAGGACACCTGCTCCATTAGTCATCCAGAAGCCAGGGGAATGTAGACAACACTAGAGAAGATGTGTGGCCGGGCGGTGGTGGCGCACACCTTTAATGCCAACACTCAGGAGCCAGAGGCAGGCAGATCTCTGTGACTCTGAGGCCAGTCTGGTCTACAGAGTGAGTTCCAGGATGGCCAGGGCTGTCACACAGAGAAACCTTGTCTTGAAAAATCAGA